ATACTGCACCAGTCCAGGAAGTCAGTAGATGTGCTTCACTGTCTCTATGATTAGGAAGTGTTTTCAAAAGCATATAATGAAGTTTTCTTACTGCAAAAACACTTCTTCTGCTTATTCACTGTGAGTGTGGTGATAAATATTCCTTTTCTGTTCTTTGAAATAGAACACATGCTTAGAAACATATTAAAAACATAAATATATATGTGCATATATATAAGTGTATATATACACACACTTGTGAGTGTAAAGAGCCTTCATCTTTAGGAGCGACAGTCTAATTTCTGGCATTCCCATTTCTGTCACTTTGCCTCATAGCTCATGTTTTCTAGGCCTTTGGTTGGTCTCCTTGCTCTCCTCTGGGCAGGCTCAACTAAGCCATATCTTTCTTGAAGTGTGGAACCAGAAACTGCCCACTGTATTTCAGCAGAAGCCCAGCCAATGCTGAGCTGAAGAGAAGGATTACTTGCAGTGTTGCACAGATTTTGTCCCTATTTATATACTACATTGCGATGATTGCATTTTGTGGGAAGAAGGCTGTATGACAGTATCAGCTTCTGTTCTGTTGGGGATCCAGTATAACCCCTAAGGCTTTTCTGGAAATAATTTAGGTGGATGATTCATTTTGCTTAAACACTTTGCATTTGTCCTTGCTGAACTCCATTCTATTTTTAAGACTTTTTCTCCAATTCATGAAGTTCATTTTTAATTCAAATCCTGTCTTTCAGTGTATTTGCTTTACCTCCCAAATTCACAGTTACCTGCTTGTTTAATAATGCCATTCACCATTTCACCATCCAGGTCATTAATGAAAACGTGGAACAGAATTGGATCTGGGGCTGGCACTTGGGTATCTCCATGTGTCACATCCTCCAATTTAGAATGTGTACCAGTGATAACTGCTCTCAGGCATCCACTGGTTCTATACTCATGTTACAGCAATATTTTTCTTGCTCATATGTCCCTATCATCCTTGTGAAACTGTCATACAAGTCATAATGAAGAGACATGGCACCTAGTGCTTCCATCTTGCATGTGAATTCTGTTACCCTGTTCTGGAAGGAATTAGTTTTCTTTGACACAGTGTATTCATGACAGATCCATGTCTGCTGTCCTCCAAGTACTTGCAGACACTTGTTTATTTTACTTACTTTAGATCCTTTCCTGGAGACTGAAGCTCAACTGGATTTAAATTTCTCCCTTTCCCACCTTTCTATGTCTGGAATCCATTCACACTTCCTTAGTCCTCTGAGGTCTCTCCTATCTTCCATGAATTCAAACAGCAGCTAACAGCTTTGAGATCACTTCAGGAAGCTCTATAAATATTCTGGGGTATTCTGTGGAATGGTACCTAAGTAGCTGAAACCATGGACATTATCTAAGTACTTCCTAGCTTGTTTACCATCCACAGTTGGGGATTAATTGTGCTATTCACCTGTTCTTGATGGATTTTCCTTTAGTAAAACTTGATGCAAAAAGGTCATGTAATACTTAAGCCTTTTTACAATCATCTGTCAAATGCTCTTTAATCTTTAAGGTCCCAAACCAAACCATTCTATGAGTCTATGAAATTTGTTCATATACATGGACTTTTCTGTTTAATTACTATTCAGATGCTTAAACTCATGAACCGTAGCGCTAGAAGTCCTGGAGAGAAAAGAGCTTTGTGCACCAGCTGGACAGAGTCAACAGTAAAAATTCTCGCTAAAGCGTGGTAAGGATTAGTAGGGTGATAATGCTGTGGATCACAGCGCTTAGTGAGTTGCTGCGTTTGAGTGGGGGATGAATCTCCATTTCCCAGTTCTGGTCCACTTCCAGCTTAATAACAGTATAAACAAATACGATTAAAGTGATTTAGGTATCCTGAAACTTTATTTCTATTAGGGAAATGGAGTGAAGTATTTTAACTGCTACACTGCAGAATGAAAATAGCAAATCCAGTAACTGCAGCTCTCTGGTTACAGCAAAGTTTTGTGGTGTGGGAGAAACAAATGCCACAGGTGGAATTTAGCATGGTGCCTTGCAAGTTCAGTATGAACTGTATTCTCCTTGCTTCCTAGGAATTAACACTAAACATTTAGATCGCAGGGCAGAATTTCATTCGCCCTGAAACTTTGGCTATGCTGTCTTTGAAAACATTTCACTCAGTTTTTGAATGTACTTTCTGTGAAGCTGTGAGTTTCACTCTGTAATTTAAGCTATAAAACTGCCTGTAGATCAAGTAATTTGTCACTGCCATTAGTTGTTTAGTACAGATAGAGTCTGCAGACTCTGAGCTTCATAAACCAGACAGATCCTTATCAGTAATCAATATTTGTAATATTTGTTAATATAAATCTGTCACTACTGACTCATCTTTTGAAATTAATCTGGGACAAAGCACTTTACCATGAGCACCAGTCCCATAATAGAAGCAAAAGCAACAAAACAACTGTAAGTTGTGTCCCTAAGTTTGCTGGCACATCAAGTCACAATGCATAGACTTGAATCCTCATATGAAACCTAGCTAATAAGCAGTAATAATGAAGGAGCTTGACACATTCCCAAATTGCATAAAAGTCTTCATTAAGATGCAGCAGCTGTTTATTTCCAGGACCACATGGTCTAGTCAGCATGATAAGAACACAAGTGGTGATGGATCAGCAAGTTTGCTTTTACTGGAAAACACACACATCTTTCTTATCCATTCTAATGGGTTAGTATTAAAGAAGAGCTAGAGTTGGAGAATAATTAGAGTAATTTTCCATTTATTTATCTTTCCAGAATGCCTCAGGCTAGGGAGGTCAAGTAGATGCTAAAGAGGAAAAACTGCATCTGAAACTGGTCTGAAAATAAATACGCATCCCATGAGTAGTGCTGTGTACAATTTGCTTAGCTTCAGAAAACTAAGTTTGTCTGCCAGCTGATTGCCTGCTTCATTGAGGAAATCTGCTTAGCCTGAGCAATTCCGAAAGCTCTTTTTCTTCAGTTTCAAATTCTGAGGGGTGTGAATTAACTATTTCCCAATTTCTTGTTTCTTTCAGTTTTCCCTTTCATGTATCAGTCATATTACTCACCAGCTTCCTTTGGCTGGTTTGCAACTAGGAGGTTTTTCAGTGAGCAGAGACAAGCTCTAGGTTTTCCTGCTCTGCAAAGAAACTCTGTCAGCCTGGCAGTCTTATGGCAATGCCTGACATAAAATAACATCTGACTGTCATGTCCTTCCTTGTCATTGAGATGAATTTAAAAATCTTGTATGCTTTCTAGGTAGAAGCATATCCTGTTGCGTTCTGTGTGTCAATGGAATTGTATTTATTCTACCTGCTTTAATTCATTTTAGTACAGTTATTGGTCATTGCTGTGATATCTTGGCACTGCGCATACAGCTGTGAAATATTCATCTTGGGTAATTATTTCTGCTCAAGAGCAGTTTGCCAATTCCCCAGTTTTGAATGTCTTTCATCTGATATTTTAAGGAAGATAGTGCTGTGTGGTCTTCTGTTTGCTTTGCCTAGTAGTCTGTAGGGTTACATCTGATCTCCTTAGTAGAATCATATTTCTATACTAAAGTGGAACACCATCAATAGTAGACTTTGAGCTTGCTTTGAAATATAAGGTGATCAAGCAAAGTACTGAGTTTATGCTGTTTGCATGCACATTTTTTTTCTGAAGCACAGTCTCTGCTGATCAGAAAACACAGTCTTTTGAGTGTGCAGCGTTTTGAAATTGAATTCTGTGAAGGAATAAGGTCTGTAAGTAGTCTGGGCTTCCTTTTATCTGTATCTCAATGTATGGGCCACAGGCAAGTCCACAAAAGAAGTTCAGTAATCTCTGAAATCTTACATGGCATATCTAAACAGGAAGTTCATTCTAATTAAAGTTTGCTGTTGTGACTTTGCATAGATTTTTATGTTGCACTTGTCTAACATGGCTTACATTTTCTTCATACTATGAAGTGTTTGCGGCAAAATTCAGTTAGCCTTTCACAAGTTCTAATGTATTTCAATTGAGGCATACTCCAAGGAGGAAGGGAATCTGAAGTTTCAAAATTCAATTGTCTTGAAGTGATGGAAATTTTAACTTGCATTGCTAAAAAAGCCTCATTGAAGAGACACAGGTGACTTCACTGTCTTTACTGAAGCAATGGAACAATTGTGCTAGCTTGAAAGGGTGACTTTCATTTTCTGTACTGCTAAGACCTAAATATCAGCCACATGTCACCTGACATATATATCCTATTACTGTGTGTGGACAAAAGCGTATACTCCCTTAGTTTTGGGTAAAAGATGCACAAAGCTTGAGACTTCTAGGTCTTAGCATTCTTGTTAATACATGCCTTTTAGATGTGACTCCATTGATTTCAATAGTTCGGCTATCTCAAAATCAGCTTATAAGGAGTTAGTTCCAGTTTCTAGATATATTAGTTGGTTTAAACTGCTTGCACAACATCCTATAGAACACAAAAGCCACAAGCCCTTCCTTTGTGTTCCAGTTTCTGCTTCAGTGTGCCTTCTAGTCAGGCTGTTCTTAGGCTGACTACAACAGCCTGCAAACAACATGTACTGTTTGCAGAGAGAATTACTGTCATTGTTAAAATTTCACTTTACCTTCAGGCGTTATTGAAAACCTAAGGATTTTCATGACAGGACTTGAGAACTTCATTTGGATTCTTTGCCAAATAATAGTATAGTGCTCCATGTCTGTGTAATAAAGCGATGAGATCTAGCCTCCCCTTTTGAGCTTTCAAGCAATCCAACTTTCAAAATTGATGAGTAAAAAAGGAAAAGAGGACAGTTTCTTTTCTGTGAATCCCTGCAGGTTGCGGTGATTGGAGGTGCTTCTTAGTAGCTCAGTGTCTACTGGGTCTTGTTGGGTGACTTGCAAAACAAATGATTATCCTGAACCCTAGTTCTTGATTTTACTGATACTTAAGATACTAATACTTGTGTTTTTAAAAATCGTTTATTTTTTCTGCTGTTAAAAAGTGTCTGTACAAATTTCTATTTTATCTTTTCCTTTCATAGGTTCCAACTATGGGAGTCCCCGTCCAGCTCATGCCAACATGAATGCCAATGCAGCTGCAGGGCTTGCCCCAGAGCATATCCCTACTCCAGGGGCAGCTCTGTCCTGGCAAGCTGCGATTGATGCTGCCAGGCAAGCCAAACTGATGGGTAGTGCTGGCAATGCAACAATATCCACAGCTAGCTCCACGCAGAGGAAACGGCAGCAGTATGGGAAACAGAAAAAACAGGGTACCACCACAGCTACACGTCCTCCCCGGGCACTGCTGTGTTTAACACTGAAAAATCCCATCCGGAGGGCATGCATCAACATCGTCGAATGGAAATATCCTTTTTGATGTTCTCATTTGGAAAACAGCAATTTATTTGTGCACATCAGGCGCTATTCATAAGTGTGAAGAAATCAATACATTAAGTTGAAAGGCACCACTGGGAACATAAAGTACATGAATAGTTTTTGATGTCTTAACTAAGATCATTTATGCTGGGGGAAAAAAAAAAGTTTTGAGTTTAGGACTGAAGCCTTAACTGTACCCTGGTGTAAGAAACGGCTGGAAGTGTAAATGATAAAGGTTAGGGGTTGAAATTTGCTTTTTTAAAACCACATGGCCAAGGCTGAAATTGATGGGAAATATGCAAGGTGTCTGAGGCCAGAACCGAAGTGACTTGATGGGATTGATAGCAGCTGCTGGCTTTCCTTACCTTTTTTTGCAGGCACTTAGAGGTGTCACCAGTTAAACAGCTGTGGTGTTTTGAATCATATGCATTTTTTGTTAAACACGTGGCATCACACTTTCTACAGTATGAGAAAAAGAATGGGACAAAAGGAGGAGGAAAAAACCCCAAACATGTAATAAGACCATGAAACAGGTCTAAAGTCTGTTCATTATTTTGGAACTCCACTTAAACTAATAAGGCTCACTAATGTATGGTAACAGATACTAGTTATCTCTTACTGGTTATCTAGAAGCAGGGTAAAAGAAAGACAGTTAAAGTAATCCTGCAACATGTATGAATGCAGTATAGGGCCAGATCTAGTAGTCTGAACAAGAGACAGCCTGTCAGAGATGATAGATGATCACCACTGACACAGAACTGCAGAATGTAAGGGTCAGTGCTGCTTCCCTGGAAAGTCAGTGGGAGTTTGGCCATTGGTTTAATTGTGTGAGAGAAGAAAATCGCCCGAGTCTGATGAGCACCAGCTAGAATTTAAGAATTTGGTGTGAAACACAAGCTAAAATAAAGTACACCTGCCTCACATCCCCAAAGGGAAACCGAGCCTTACCCTGAACAGTAATTGTCAGTAAATCGGAAGCTAATGGGCTTCTTCAGAAAATACAAAAGAGAAAACATGTTGTTAGGGATAGATAAGCATGTCAAGGGAAGGCAGTACAGAACTTGGCAGTAGTTAATATGATAAAAAAAAAATGAATGATGGCATTTAAGACAATGTGATAATATTGTTCCTTTGGGGGTCTGCTGGGACATTAGAAAGATGAAAACAGAATATGATTATTATGTCTTGCTGACATGGACATATTTTCCAGATTAAGAATGTGTTAAAATGTTCCTGTCAATTCTTAGATGTCCTTAAACTACCTGCCTGCCTATTTCTTTCTTCAGATGCTAATTTTTAATCCCTCTGATTAAGTTCGCAACTCTTTATCCCTTTGGACATAGCTCTGGTATTTTAAGTGTAAGAAGATGGGTGATGACTAACAGGATGAAGCTGAATATTGGTTCACTTGCCAGCACCCCAGTAACCACATGTCTTTAGAAAAAAGCACAGAGTGACATTTGATAAATGAATAAGATCAGCAATGAATGATGGGAATGATGTGCTGTAAAACAGGATACAGCAGTGCTGGGATCAAGAGAGGACCAAACAATGCATTTAAAGCAATCCAAAGATGCTGATGATAGCGTTTTATGGTTTTGTTTGCTTTTAGGTGAGTTGATGGAAGTATTTTTGTTTTCCATCAGAACCGCTCATTGGATATCTAGTGTTTATAAATGTGAAACGCATCAATCACAAGTAACAATATTAAAGGGTTTTGATGAAATTTAATTTTATCTGTATTCATCCTAATTGCTAAAAACTACTGAGGAAAGCTTAGCTTAATTTGCTGAACCACTCAAGTCTAAGCACAGTAGATATTAAATATCAAATGGTACTTCTGCAGTGTTTCTGATCCAAGCATTAAGAGGCTGAAGGTGCAATTGCACACAAGAAAAAGTGAAATGAAGCAATTGCCTTATTTTGCAAAGATTTAGCTGTCTGTTTAATTTTCTGCTCTGTGTGCAGGGTATTTGTAGAGTTTACACCATTTTATTTTTACAGTGCAAAAAGAAGTTGAAGAAAATATGCATAAACAGTGGTAAGTTAAAAGATAACAATCCTGTCAAAACCAAGAAGTCTAGGAAGAAAGTTATTAAGAAAAGGAGAGCCTGTGGAAATTCAGGTGTTTATACAGTAAACACTATATATACAGCCTGAACTTTTTGAGAAGTCCCATGGATAGCACCCTTATCTGCTTTTCTTCCTCAGTATGGTCATGTATCTCCTATTATTCATAGGTTTAAGCAGGGTAGTCTGGCAAGTTTGGAATACTTTGACTATTCCATATGTGAAATGTAGAAAGTATCTGAGCGTAAGCAGTGGCCAGGTGCCTGGACTTTGTGTATCTCTTGCAGTTCCTGCTGCTGCACATCCTGATCTCCAGTTCTTTCCTGCTAAAACCTGCTGAGAACAGTAGTCTGCTGACCAGAAACATACATGCTGTGTTGACATTTGGCAATGCTGCAAAGCCAGTCCCATGGTATATAAATTCATGCTCAAATGCACTCTGTGGCGCAGGTTATGCTTGGCATTCTCCCTGTCCTGTCCTGCTTTTAATTCCCCTCCAGAGTACTGGTGAGTTTTCCCAGAGCTAGCTTCCAGGATATTCTTGCAGGCAAGTAAACGTAGACAGGCTGTAAATCTGGTCTCTAGTCTGCGTTTGGAGTCACTTCACAGCATTTAAGAAGTCCACAGAAGTAGATGAAATACAGTGCCAGCAAATTGGTCAGTAGCAAAATGTCTTTTGATCCCAATGGACAGTCAGTGGGGCATCAAGGCTGTGCAGGATTTGCTTGTTGAACATCCAGTATGATTGTGGTGTTTTCTCTAATGAAGTTGATGCTGGTCTGAAATGCCCTGGAATTGGTGCTGCTTTATTATAAGAACTCTTAGCTTCCTTTTGCACCTGATACACTGTGTAAGCGCATTTGTTTTCCCTATGAATACTAAAGGAAATCCAAATTAAAAAGAAATACTGCCTAAAACAATTCTTAAGCAAAACAAGCATACATGGCAATGTGCAGTATAAACACATTTTGGGCAAAACTTTTTTCTTTTGCCTTAACAAATCTTATCGTCATGTAAATGTCTTCTAGCTGAATGTATGCCTGTATTTCTTGGGCCCTTGCATTTAACTTTGAGATATCAGAGACTGGGAAAGGCAAAGGGGGGTGAGGGGAGGAGAGAAATACAATGCCAAAAAAAAACCACCCAAAACTTTGGCTAAAATTGTTTCAGGGTTTGTAAATGCAGATGGAAAAGACTGAGGGAAGCTAATTGTAAGACAAAAGATGACAGTCCTTCTAGAGCAGGCTTCTGCTATTAAAAATAGTACAACCACACTTGAAGGAAAATGGGGAAAATGCAATCTAAATAAATAAAGGAAGAAAAAACTTTTAAGAAATCTGTGTTTACTCTGGCACGCGACTGGCCTACACTGCTTTTGACATATTAGGAAGATTCTTGGCTGGGAGCTCCTAAAAGCACTTAAAAAGGCATATGTTTCTTTTCAGAATATAAGGGGCTTGGAATGTTTTCTTTAAACAGAATTCTTATAAATCTTTTTTTCTTTTTTATTTGTGTGTGCACATTTTGGAACAATTTCCTTAACTCCATTCCTCAGACCATTTGAAATAATTATTTTACTGACTATTTTTGCCAATTGTGTGGCCTTAGCTATCTATATCCCCTTTCCAGAAGATGATTCCAATGCCACCAATTCCAATCTGGTAAGTCCTTAATGGTGTTTAGTTTTACTATTTTGAAAGTCCTTTTTAGAAGTGACAAGAGAGACTGTTGAAGGTAGGGAACATAAATGTATCTACCAAAGATAAGAATGTAATAGAGTAAAAATTGGATTGGAGTGCTGTGTCTCCTCTTCTATGTTAGCATCTGTTTCAATTGAGCTGCCTTTAGAAAAGAATGTCCCAAAAATTGCGTGGGTGCTGTATGTGTTGTGATTTTGGTTAACAAATTTCTGCGTGCTGCAAAAGTGCTTGGTAAGTTTTAAACTGGAGGTATTTGCGGAAGAAGTCTTTTAATCATGGATTATATGATGGGTTTTGTTTTAAAGTGCCATTGTGAAATTGATCGTGTCCTTGTCTCAGGTGATACTTGAGAGTGCAGCTTGATGACTAATTTGTAAGGAAATACATTAATTCTTGCATTTCAGAGATGCGTGTGGCTGGACACTGTTTGTGGGTTGTTTTTTTTTTTTACTTTATTTTGGATTTTTTTCTTCCCTGTTGTTGAGGAAAATAGTTTTTCCTCCATCACCACTGATGTGTATGTTGGTACTTTGGGATAGAACTGTCTATATAGAAAGGCAAGAGTGTTTACTTTTGGCTTAGCATGAAGTCATAGCAAAAAATTCTGTTCAGTACAGACACAGCATAAACCAATTCTGGAACACAATTCATTGAATTAGCAGAAAACATTTTTCTTTCTCTCAAATATGTGAACAAATCTCCCACTTGTCTGGTTGGATCAGGATGAAAACTTGCTCCCAGAGTTTAAGAGTTGGGATGCTCCTTCCTGATTAAAATTTACTGAGACAAAAGAAATTTAAGAGCAACAGAGGAGGAAAACAAAAGCCATACTTCCAAAGTAGGGATAATTGGGGTGGCCGACAGATGTTGTGATTAAAATGATCCGTGCTCTTCTTGGAAGTCAGTCACTTGATTAAATATCTCTTGGAGTTACACAAAACAAATTGCAAACTTCAGGACTTTGCTGGAACTGTACTTCTGTGTTAAAAAAAGGGAATAAAAGATTTAATGCTTTTCCTCTGTAACTCCTTAAAGAAGTTTAAAAATAGGAGCAGGAGGAGATACGTGATTGTTAACTTTTAACTATTCTTTATATTGACAGGGTATGTGATCTTGTCTTATTTTCTCTTGCTGCTATCTTTTTGTTAGCTTGACTTGGTGATTTCCAGTGATGAATTGTGGTGTGTATATGCAAGATAATTCAGTATGGCACCTTTCAAAATGAGTATCTTTTAAAAAACACATTCAATTCAATTGATTCTCTGGTGATAAAAGACAGTATATTTAATGCACGTTCTGACTTCCAAGGCTGAGATATGAAAACAGCAGAGTTGAAGTTTAGCGAACTCTTTAATTTGTCTTGAGTTTTATTTTGTGGGGGTATTTGTCTTACTTCAGTGAGGAGACTGCTGGCTTATACTGGGTTGGGAGTATATTCTTAATTGAATGAGGTTTATTAAAACTGTTCTTCTATCAGAAAATATATGCACTTCTGTGAGCTGAATTGCTATTCTGCATCTGTTTTCCAAGGCATCTTTTGCATCATTTGGTCAGTCTACCAAAACACTCATGTTATTTGTGAGTAGGAGTTTAAAAAGCCGAGCCAAGCAAAAATCATCATCTGAGGAAAGTTTAGAAATGTTATAGCAATGAAGGTGAGGAGGCATTGTTAATTTATCTAAACAGCAGTTTTAGAGGAAGAGGGGGGAGAAGAAAGTAAATGGGGAGTCTGCTTGACTACACATTGTTCTTTGGGTCTTAATGGAAAAAGTAATTAAAAATGGAAAATGAGATACTTAGTATTCCATGAGGGGGTTGCACTAGTGGAATTAAGACTCTATACTGTAGAGGAAACCCTGGACCGCCAACTGCCCAGTAGCCTTTGGTCCTATGGTATCGCTAGTCCCTTGTTGTGGTTTTGTGGGATTTGTGGTTTTGTTTGTTTGCTTTCTCAGGGTGATATACATATATTTTGGCATGTATATACTGCTGTTTGGAAACAGTTTTTTGCGTGTGTCATATGCTGCATTCTGAAGCTTTTCATAGAATTGTGAAGAGTTGTGTATTGTGGTGAGTGTGTAAAGTACTGAGCAATAAGGGGGGGGGGGGAGTGGAGGCAAATGGGTGAAATAAGGGTGAAAAAATGTTTTAGTTGTGTTTTGGAATAGGATGAAAGCTTAGATGAAGCGCAGAATTAAAGGGAAGTTATTCCAGATGGTAGGAACTGCAGAAGAGTAGTTGTACTAGCTTCTTGTTGTACTCACTTGTTTTTCACTTTTATTTTTTTCCTACCTGTGAGCATGTATTTTGCAATCAGATTTACTTTGCAGCTGTGATCCCTAAACCTTTAAAAGCTGAAAGAGGAAAGGAGGGTATGTCTTCAATGTGTGCACACAGGTTAATAGCATGCACAGTGTGAAAGTGTGAGTCTAACAAAATGCATACGGAATCTTCCTATCTGACCAGAAGAAGTTTTCACTTGTGTAACTCTTGATTCATTCCCATTTTGCAGTTTAGCCCCTTTTAGGGGTAAAGCTATGACAGAATCTCCCACATCCTATGTTTCTAGAGCCGTCCTTAACATGAAAGAACTATCTACAGAAAACATGATGGACAGTATCTGTTTTACAAGGTCTGAAAGTGACACAACAGTTTTCCAATAAGCTGCCACTTTTCCCTTAGGGTCTGAGTGTTCCTTCTCTAAGGTTTCATCATAACTTTTCAAACAATGTTTTCTTTGCAGGCTGAGGTAAAAATTCAGTCGCTTGTTTTTAACAGGATAATGGAGTAGAGGGTAGTGAGAGAAGAGAAAGGAGTTCTGAATTGTGGGAGTTGCTGCTTTCCTTCTCTCTCTAAAAGCAGAAAATGATAGCTGAATAATGTTTTGGTAAATAGTTTAATTTCACAGATGTGATCAGCCACTGGTCAAATAGGGCTTATGTATTGCTTTATGCCTTCTACAGAAGTCTTGAAGAGACACATGTCTCATTTGCCTGTACAAAACCAGGAACCTGTAGTCATATCTCCATTTTAACCAGCCTTGTCTTTAGGTTTAAGACCTATTTGATATGATGCTACAGTCATTAGTGTAAGTATTGGAAATAAATACAGAAAATTCCAATAAATTCCTTCATTTTTGTGTTAGCAAGGAATTGTGATTAGCTATCGTACTACAAGTTTAGGCCAAATAGCACGCACATGTTCTGTATGGTTCACTGCAATTTGGTTTCCTGTAATAATAATAATACTTCCTGTAAATCCTTAAGCCATTTTTATCAAGGCTAGGGATAGTAACTTGGACTGTGAAGAACTTTAATTTTTCAAATGCATGTTTATACTAACCCCCAGATTGCATATTTTTATGCTCACTGCAATGTCTTTGACACTGGCTGGAAGAAAAATGTCAGAACAATATAATATAGTTGGAACAATATAATGTAGTCATAACATGCTTGAAATTGCTTCAGCAGTTTCTGTGTTTTACTTGTGCAATGTGTTCACTGGAAAACTGCTGAGCTCTCACAAGTGGATGAGTTGTAGTAGGTGCAAAAATGTTTTTATAAGAGTGAACTCTGCTGAAACTTTGCTTAAATTTACAAGTAAAGCTCATTCAAAGAACAGTAATGTATTCTCTTGATGCAGTCAGGAAAACGGGAGCTAGTTTGAAGGGAATTAAAGTTAGCCTGCATGAGAGGCTGTAACTGATACAGAGGCTTTCTGCTTGTTATCCCTGCAATTATGCATTGGAACAGAGATAACATACATTTAGGAATAAAACTATGGACTGCCCAAGATAGGAAGCTGAAAGGAAAATGCTTCTGTCACTTTACTGGCAATTGCAAATGGCAGAAGCCTGGTCAATGTCACAGCATGGCGATAACATAATGAGGTTAAGACCAAGGTTTACAACACCTTCCGTGGAAGGCAACTCGATTGTTTATGCTTTAGCTAAATAGCAGGAGAAGAAGTTGTTTTGATAGCTCTCCTGTCCCTCCCTTGTCCTTATTGCAGGAAGGAAATCCTGTTTTATACTAGTTAAACGTAAAAAAAAAATCCCAGAATTCTGGAGCCAGCATATTGACCAGTCTCTCATTTTTAATTGTGCAAAGTCAGAAAAGTGTTAGAGAGCAGAGTGGTGGTGAGGAGATCAGGAAAAACAGGGATGGCTTTTCTGGACAAGGATAAGGAAGAATACTGCACAAAAGCTTTTGGTTCGCTTGTGTCATTGCTGTCATCTTATGTGACAGTTCTCAACTAGTAAGTGAATACAGTAATGAGATGTCAATGTCAGAGGTGAGGTGCAGGGCAGGATAGAGGAGATACCAAGATAATAAGCTCTGATAGGCTTATTAGCTTGGGCCTCATGCCAGCACTGCCACAGCTGGGGGAGGTTATGGAATTTGAAAAGTGGGGAGTAAGGGACAGAAGATGGAAGAGAGGAGCTGAAGAGGCTGGAAAGACACTGGGATCAGGATGAGGAGAAGAAGAAAGGAGGTTGTTCCAAAAAATCCTTAAGGACTTCCTCCAGAAAGATTGTGAATTTCTGACTTCTGTAATGCTAAGGAAATGGAAAATGATGGAATTTAGGCTCAACATTTCCCAAAGTCCTTGGAAGCCCTGCCTCTGGCATGGAGAGGCTGATACTCAGCATCTTTGGCAATAGTGAAGCACAGTGTGGAAGAATAAGCTTTATATTTGAGAAGACAACATTCAGGTTGTCTGCTGGTTCTGCTGCTGACAAACAGTGTGGCCTTGGGTAAATTGCTGTCTCAGTTTTCCAGTCTGTAAAGTGGGATGGTTACTGCTCTCATGGTGAGATGTCCTTGTCAAATCCCAGCTTTCTGCTTCTCCTTATACCAGTGGTCCCTATGTCCTCACCCAGTCTGTGCTTGTTGTTGTTGATAGTCTCTTGATCTCCTCTGAGATCTCTTATGTCTGTGTCCTCATTTTTGTTGCTTTAT